CTGAGCGCCCCTCAACCGATTTGACTGATGCATTAATATCACAATAATTAAGACTCCAAAGTACGAAAGGCTTCATCTTTAGAGGCTTTCATGATCTTTCCTCTCCCCACTTTCCTACCTTCCCAGTACCACCTTGTAACCAAGGCAAAAACTCAAACACTTTCTTAGAGAGAAGAGAAACCCAGACCCGATGCAACACAAGGTTTTAAAGCAGAAGAATTTAGGCTTGACATGAGGAAGAACTTCCTGATGGGGAAAGTGGCTACCCACTGGAACGAGCTGGTGAAGAATTAAAGGGGGTCACTGGACTCCCCACCTCTGCTTGGCACTCCACAAGTCCCCAGCTTGGTGCACTCAGCCCAGGCGTGGAAACCGCAGGTGACTCAGGGAATCTTAAGTGGTGGTTGCTAGGTTACAAGCTTCCTCAACGTGCATTCAGTGTAAAGACTAAAGGATGTCACCTGGCTGGGAGGAAGAGCTATGGGGGAAGGAGTGGGGGAAATGGAGAAAAGCCAGGACTTCCAAAACAAGGAATTAGGCCATGGCCTGGAAGGCATCCTGTTCTTAGTACTTTTCCAAGGGTCTGAGTCCCATAGTCTTCACAGAGGGTGTTGCTTGCAGGACATGAACATTAGGTTAGAATGGGGCCTATTCTGGGCCTGGATTCTAGTCCTTTCCCAGCTATGCTGCCTGGCACAGACAGTATGGCAACGGGGAGGGGACAGTCACTGAAACCTTTGAGGTCTGGGCCCCTTCCTTCACTGTAATTGGACAGAAAGCCAGGTGAGAGTAGTGAAGTCTGATGTCCTTAATAATGCACAATTCTTTCATTTGTGATTTAATTATGATAAAGCAAAAGGGCACTGGATTTGGAATTCACAAACTAGACCCACCCTGAACGGCTCACTTGGTCATAAGTCAGTTACTTCAATTCACTAAGTCTCAGAGTCCTCATCTGTAAAAAAGGGTGCTAATACCTGCCTGACAACCTTTCCAGAGGTTTTTAAGATTACGAGAAAGTGGACGTGCGAGGGCTTAGTTTAGCTCGAGTTATGCAAACATAAAGTAGTATGAACTTTATATACCTGCTCACTGAGCTGTCCCAGCTGGGGTGGGTGGAAGCACAAGAAGCCTTGCCTCACTGCTTTGGGAGAAGGCTCCATGGGCAAGAGAGGCTGAAGGTGGACCCTCAACAAGCCCCTCTGAGGAATGCGTATGGCTTTCAATCCTCCTGATCACCCTGCCGTGATTTTGTGAAGACAGTTTAAATTGATGGTTGAGGGTTTGTTCCCTATTCCTCTGGGCAGACTGTGATCTCCAGGAAGAAGAGAAATGTTTGATGTTTCCTGTGAAACTTCATTAATTCAGACCACATTTTTTGGAATTTGTGTTCTTATTGAATAAACAGAAAGCAAATTTCAGGGAGGGGGAAATTTCCCCCCTTACTCCTCTTGAGTTCTTTTGGCTGGTCTAATAGTTAAATTGACAAGATTATCAGGAGGGGAAAACAAACCAATTTAATTCACATGCACAGAGGTCCCATAGAAATGGGACCCCCGAAGTGCCAAAGCAGGCTGTTTATATGTCATTTTTATTTATTTTTTATTTTTTGCGGTACGCGGGCCTCTCTCTGCTGTGGCCTCTCCCGTTGCGGAGCACAGGCTCCGGACACGCAGGCTCAGCAGCCATGGCTCACGGGCCTAGCCGCTCCGCAGCATGTGGGATCCTGCCGGACCGGGGCACGGACCCGTGTCCCCTGCATCGGCAGGTGGACTCTCAACCACTGCGCCACCAGGGAAGCCCTATATGTCATTTTTAGACAAACAATTATTTGTGAAGACTTACCAAAGGGGCTTGCACTTCAGGTACAGACTAATGAAGTAACAAAATCTGTTTATACAGTTTTCTTAGCCTTGAATTCCCTAACTCTGGTGATAAGTAAGGATGCTTTCTCTCTCCTGATATGGGGAGGATACTTTCACATGGGAGATTTATTTCCCACTTTCGGGGGAAATAGGGGGTACAGAGTGTTTTTTTAATATCAAATGTTTTTTCCCAACGGCTGTTTCTCAAGTAACTTTACCTTAAAATAATCAGTATGCCATTGTGGTATACCTTGGGGTGGCCTGCTCTGAGCCCCAACACAACTGTCCTCTGTGAAGGTTCTTAGAGGTACTTACTATGTAAGTACAGAGAATTCAAACTAAAAAGCAGTGGAATTTCTAAGCCAAGAACTCAAGATGTTAAGGTGGGCCTATGAGCTGTTAAGAGGTACTGTGACCTCTGTTTCTCACAGGAGGTCATTTCTAAGTGAGGGGCAAAATGTTTGTGCTTGTTCTCAGTTTTCCTTTTTCTTGGTTTTGTTGATAGTAGTTGTAGTAGTAATGGTATTCATTGTGATTTACCAGCCCCTTGCTGTGTGTCAGAAGCTGAACTGAACACTTTACAAATATCATCTCATTTAAAAAAAAAAAAATTTTTATTTATTTATTTATTTTTGGCTGTGTTGGGTCTTCGTTGCTGCACGCGGGCTTTCTCTAGTTGCGGCGAGCAGGGGCTACTCTTCGTTGTGGTGTTCGGGCCTCTCACTGCGGTGGCTTCCCTTGTTGCGGAGCACGGGCTCTAGGCATGCGGGCTTCAGTAGTTGTGGCTCACGGGCTCTAGAGCTCAGGCTCAGTAGTTGTGGCGCACGGGCTTAGTTGCTCCGCGGCATGTGGGATCTTCCCTGACCAGGGCTCGAAGCGGTGTCACCTGCATTGGCAGGCAGATTCTTAACTGCTGCACCACCAGGGAAGTCCCAAAAATATCATCTCATTTAATCTTCACAAAAATCTACAAGGATATATCTATACCATGGAACACTACTCAGAAATAAAAAGGAATGAACTAGTGATACATGCAACAACTTGGATGAATCTCCACAGAATTATGCTGGGAGCAAAGAAAGCCAATACACAAAGGTTACATACTGTAAGTTTCTATTTATATAACATTCTTGAAATGACAAAATTATGGAAATGGAGAACAGATTGGTGGTTGCCAGGAGTTGGAGAGAGAGGGGTGAGAGGGAAGAAGGTATGGGTATAAAAAGGCAATATGTACACCTGAAACTAACACAGTGTTGTAAATCAACTATTCTTCCATTAAAAAAAAAAGGCAACGTGAAGGGTTCTTGTGATGGAAATATTCTAAATCTTGACTGATCAATTTCCATATCCTGGCTATGATATTATTGTACTATATGTTTTGCAAGATGTTACCATTGAGAGAAATTGGGTAAAAGGTGTTATTTCTTACAACTGCATGTGAATCCACAATTTATCTCAAAATAAAAAGTTTAATCTAAATAAAATAAGGAAACTGAGCCTCGGAGTAGGTAAATAATTTCAGAGCCAGAATTCAAACCCAGCTCTGTCAGACTCCCAAGCCTGAGCGTTTCAACACTTGGCTCTATTCAAGGGAACCATGTGGGAGGACCCCACAAGCCTGCAGTTCATCACACCAGGTGGCTCACTGGTGTCATGGGCACTTTTGTTACTGGGGACTACTGTCCTGATAAGGCCATTACAGAATGGCTTGAAAGAATTATCTGGCAAGACCTGTGGGTTGGTGCTGAGGGCCAAGATTTGATAACCAGGTTTTCCCTTCCTAAGGTGTGATGTGGGAGGGACCACTCACGTGTTTGCCTTTCCACTTTTGTCTCTGTCTGTGTGTCCGCATAACTGTGCATTTTCTGTCAGTTTCTCCGTGGATATGACCATTTCCGGGTGGAGGGTGTGGTGATGTGTAAATTATGCATATGTGCGCAGGTCGGTGTGTACATTGTTTGGATGCACCCGTGTCAGGTCTGCGTGTGTCACACCCACATAACTTGTTTCTATTAGGTTAAACCATTTGATAATACCTCCCCCAAAGCAAAGCCGACTATTGAGCCAGCCTGTCACGAACTGGGTCTGTGTACTGTAGATAAACTGGGTAATTGGACTCTCCGCCTCCTCATCCAAAACAAACACTCACAAACCGCCCACCCCCACACTGGAGGGAGTCTAGTCCCCGTCACCTGGGTACTTGGCTCTAGTGCCCCGCTTTCCCTGAACAGTGGGCAAGGTGAGCGTCTCCCGCCGGGCCCTTTCCCTCCCCCGCAGGCCGGGCGCAGCCAGGGCTTCTGTAAAGAGGTCAGGGCTCGCTTCGCCGCGGGGCGCACGCGGGTTCCTGCACAGGTGTGGCGGCTGATGGTGGGGATGTGCGTGGAGTCGGCTCGCCGGCCTCCCCCCCACCCCACCCTCCGGCGGCGGCTCCGCTTCTCCTTCCTGCTGCTCATTTATTCTCCTCTTCTGGGTGTGTGACAGCGGTGTGCGGACCGAGGAAGGACAGAGCGCCCTCTCCCCTGCTCCCCGCGCCGCTCTTGGGTAATGCGCTGCCTGCGCCTCGCCGCCGCACAGTGTAAGTGGCGCGTGGGCAGGGACGGGAGTTGGCGGGGAGGGAGAGCCGGGGGAGGCAGGCGGCGGCGCCGAAAGGTGTTAACTCCTTGCTTCGCCGGGAGGCAGCCTGGCACCCTGAACCCCGGAACGCCCCCGGCCCCCCACGCGTTCCGCGGGTTTCCGACCAGCTGGCTGGGAGCGGCGGGGGACAAAGCGGTGCGGGTTTGATGCCGCCGCGGGGTGGCGCCCTCGCCGCCGCGTTTTCCCTTGAAAGTTGGCGGGGGGCTGGGAGCCCGCTCGCCCGCCCACGCCAGGAGGCCAGGGCGCCGGGCCCGGCTGCCCTTGATTCGCCCCATTCCTCCCGCAGGGCCGGGCTCGGACGCCTCCGGACAGCTGAGTCTTGAGGGACGGTGAAGCGCTGGCCGGCGTCGGGGCCCTTGCCGGGGGTCGGGCGGGAGCAGGCGAACCGGAGCGAGATGGAGGCGGCGAGAGGGGGCGCGGAGTAGCCGGCGGACCCCCGGGCTCGCACCTCCCACGGCGCTCCGCTGGGGCGCGGCGGGCGGGGTCCCCGGGGCTGCCATGGAGGTGCCCAACGTCAAGGACTTCCAGTGGAAGCGCCTGGCGCCACTGCCCAGCCGCCGGGTCTACTGCTCCCTGCTGGAAACCGGGGGGCAGGTCTATGCCATCGGGGGATGTGACGACAACGGCGTCCCCGTGGACTGCTTTGAGGTCTACTCCCCCGAGGCCGACCAGTGGACCGACCTGCGCCCCCTGCCCACAGCCCGGGCCGGGGTGGCTGTCACCGCCCTGGGGAAGCGGATCATGGTGATCGGGGGTGTGGGCACCAGTCAGCTGCCTCTGAAGGTCGTGGAGATGTACAACATCGATGAGGGCAAGTGGAAGAAGAGGAGCGTGCTGCGCGAGGCCGCCATGGGCATTTCTGTCACGGCCACAGGCGAGTGGGGCCAAGGCTTAGGGCGGGCAGAGAGAAGGGGGTGGGGCGCCACGGGGAAAGGCGTGGAAGCCAACACTGAGTTGGAGGCCACTGTCACATTCCTGATCCCCAGTTTGTCTTTACAATGGACACTGAAACTAGAGACCCGCTGGCCTTATTTTACAGATGGGAAAATTGAGACTCAGCAAGTGAAGTGTCTAGTAAATCAATATGATGCCAGAGCTCCACTCCACCCCACCAGGTTCCTCCCAGCAAACTGGGCAGGCCAGGCCAGAGGGGAGAGCCAAAGGGGGTTAGTGCAATGTCCCTGTACATCCCTTCATTCAGCAGAATGATTGGGCCTTCCACCCACAGCACCAAATCCCCTGAAATCTTCCTTGCAAGTGCCACCATCTCCAGACACATATTTGGGGCCCTGGGGATGTTCATGCCATCCTCGTACCATCACTAGGCCCCACTGGGAGGGCTTTGGGACCTGGTTCCAGGACCTTCTCACCACCATCTGCCTCCTAATCTCAGAGACACTGATGAGTGGACACCATAATGTTCCTGAGGGTCGTGTTTCTGTGGCATCTTGCCCAGGTTCACTAGGTTCTCAGGGCATGCATGTGCTGATCACGTAGCTTTGATTCTCATTTCGCTTTTTCCAAGCCCATCATTTCTTTCTTTTCAGGCCTGGTAAAGCCCAGAGCACAGAGGGGGCTCTGAAAGCTCTTTTGCTAAAACACACAGGGATTTATGGAAAATGGCCCAGCAGGAGTTAGGAGACCCCAAGTTCAGATCAGACAGGCTTAGTGGGATGCAACCTTCCCTCCTTCTCTTGCAAAACCATTTCAGCTGCCTGTCAGGTCTACTGTAGATCAGAAACCAGTATTTCTTGAGTACCTTCTCTGTCCCTGGCACAGTTCTAGGTCCCAGGGAGGAAGGAAAGAGGCAGATCTGATCCCTGCCTTTAGGAGCCCAGGTCTTACCAATGAAGGTCAGAGAGAGAAAGTCTAACTCAAAATCCCTGAGGGCAGAGTAGCCAACGGGGCCTCCTGAACTCCCAGTAAGAAAGATGGAAGGCGTGGAGGCCCATGGGGAAATAGAGAGGGAAAGGGTAGTCCTTTATCCGCAGATCTCAATAAGTGGGGCTGAAAGATTAAGAACCAACATTTGAGTCCTTACCATAGGTGCCTTATAGGTATTAACCCCTTTGACCCTCACAACCTGTCTGATGAGTTAAGTGCTATTACTATCTTCATTTTAGAGAGAAGCAATGTGAGGCCCAGAGAGGTTAAGTAACTTGCCCAAGGTTACGCAGCCAGCAGGTGATGGTCGAGTCTGTGCTCTTAACTATGGCATTGAATGGGTTCAACAGTTAGTTTACTAAGAATTGACATGCCTGTGTGCCACGCTTTCTAGCAGATGCTGGGGCCACAGATTAACAAATCTCAAGAACATAACAGTCTATTGAAAGAAGCAGACAAAGGTTATTTCAGTAACGTGTGGCAAGGAGGGTGATGCAGGTGCCACAGGAGGTCCTGAGCCGCCGCTCTCAGTCCAGCCTTGCAATCCAGGGACACCCAGGTGACTCTGAAAGGATGAGTAAGAATCGGGTGCAGGAATGGTAGTGTGGACTGGATGTGAGGGTTCTCAGCTGGAGGTGTGTGGGTGAAAACAGGAATAGAAGAGGCGGAGTTTGTGTAAGGTAAATTTCTCATTAGCAGGCCCCACCTCCCAGCCAGAGGCTAGGGTTGGGATTTGTTTTCCCTCTCTTTAGTAAGATTGGAAAGTAGAAAGAAACAGTACTCATCCCTGCAATCCCCTTGAAGAATGGAAGTCTCATAGAGCCAGAAGCAGTGAGGACTGGCTACTAGGAGACAGAATCCCGGGCAGGGGTGAGTCCCTGGGAAAAAGAGGGCCCTGGAGGTAGGGCTGTGTCCTTAACAGGCTGCGGGAGGTACTGGGGTGAGGCCCAGGGAAACATGGAGGCGTTGCCCATCCTCTCTGCTGCACTGTGTCACCTGCAGCCAAGAGCAGTAGAGAGTCGGGGGGAACTCACTTCTCTGGGCAGGGCTTCTTATGGGGGCCAGTTTTCTCTCCTCCAAAGCCTCTCCCTCATTCACCCCTAGCCCATTCAGTGCAGGGTGCCTCCTGGAGCCCAGAGCTTTCCTGTGCAGGAAGGAGGATAGCCTTCCCCTATCCGGACAGAGAAAGAGATGGCAGCAGGCCAGTGTCCCACAAGGCCAATGACAGCAGGGCTGACCTCATTTCCAAAGGCTCCTGCTAGGTCTAGAGAGTTCTGATCTGGGAGTTCCTGAGGAAGAGGCCACTATTGGAGGGTATCAGAGGAATACCCCTTCTCTTTGGCATCCCTCTGGCTGCCCAGGAAGGAGGAGAATGGCGGGGATAAGACCTGCAAAGGGTTGTCCAGGCCTAGACTCCACTGCAGTATACCTCTGTGAAAGCCTTAGTATTTCGGGTTTAACCAAGGGCCAGCCACCAAGGAAGGCTAAGGCATGAAGGCCTGACATGGCTTCAGGAAGACCCAGGCTTGACTATGGCAGGAACCACCAACCCATTCTCGGGCAGAGCAGTGGTTGGGACCTAGCCGGGCTTCAGCGCTTGTATTCCAGGGGTTAACAGAGCCTGGCCATGGTAGGAGCTGAGTACGATGGGCCTGTCTCATAGTGTCTGCTGTATGGCCTTTCTCCTTAGATTACCGAGTGTACGCGGCAGGCGGGATGGGCCTGGATCTCCGTCCACACAACCACCTCCAACACTATGACATGCTCAAGGACATGTGGGTGTCTCTAGCACCCATGCCCACCCCGAGATATGCTGCCACCTCATTCTTCCGAGGTTCCAAGATCTATGTGCTGGGTAAGGACAGGTTGTCTGGCCCATGTCTGGCCCTTCTTCCCTCCCCCGGGTCAGTTCCTGTTGGAAGCAGTGCCTGTGTGCTGAGCATCTCCGGGGCACTGGGGGTTAATCATGCTGCCCCACCCCTCAGGGAGCTTCCTATGTGATCTGATAAGAGTCAGAAGGGGAAACCCAGCCCCAGTCCTCAGAGACTTACTCTTCTGCCCAACCTTCGCCCTACTCTGGCCTCCAGGGGGACGACAGTCCAAGTACGCGGTCAATGCCTTCGAGGTCTTTGACATCGAGACTCGCTCCTGGACCAAGTTCCCCAACATTCCCTGCAAGCGGGCCTTCTCCAGCTTTGTGACCTTAGACGACCGCTTGTACAGCCTGGGTGGCCTGCGGCAGGGTCGGCTCTACCAGCAGCCCAAGTTCCTCCGGACGATGGACGTGTTCGACATGGAACAGGGTAAGCTGGGCACCAGTCCCCGGCTGCGCACCTCCCTTCTGGCTGAATCCCCCACCTTACCCCCATCCCATCCACCCACCCAGGCTCACTTACCCAGCTGGGTGAGCCTTTCAGAGTCTGAACACCCTCCTCCATTCAGGGCTACTCTTGGGATCAAGTTCTTTCATCTGTACAGGGTTCCCTTTGATTGGTTAGTTGTTTTTATCAAAGCCTTTTCCACCTATTGTCCATTCTTACAACATCCAGCCAGGGCCAGGTGAGGAAGGGCTTTTTCCTGTTTTTTACTCGTGGAAAAACAGAAGGATCCTGACTCTGACGCTCTCTGCCTCTAGTCAGCCTCCTTTCCAGCTTAAAGCCCGTGAGAACAGGGGTAGAACAAGGTGATTTGTCATAAGAGATTATGGTTCCTTGGATTACAGCAAGCATGGGAGAGGGTAGAGTATCATTTCAAACAGCAGGAGACATTGTATATACGCTGAGCACACAGGGTAGATGGAGTGGAGATGCTGCCTAGGGTGAGAGCAGTTTGGGACTCGTGTATTTGGAGGGGCGGGTGGTCAGCATCTAATTCTCTCTGTGTATCTCCTGCCATCACCCATGGCCTGTAGGGGGATGGCTGAAGATGGAGCGCTCATTCTTCCTTAAGAAGCAGCGGGCAGACTTTGTGGCCGGCTCTCTGAGTGGACGGGTCATAGTGGCTGGAGGACTTGGTAAGGATAGAGCTTCCGGGCTGGCACTGTGGTCTGGTGCTTGGTGGATTCTAGGCACTCTGCATGAGCAGGAGAAGGTGCTGGCTCCTTGCACACCACCTGCCTACTGCTTTATTCCAAGGAATTTCAAAGCACTCCCCTCCTCCCAGCCTAGATGTCGTGTCTCCATGGACGGGCCTCAGTTGCGGTCTATCTGTCCTCTTACACAGGAGAAACTGAGGCCCAGAGAGCATAAGGGACATACTGATAACCATGTGACACAGGCGTGCCAAGCACAGGTCCCTGGGCCCCTGTCCAGGAATGACTGGAGGTGAAAGTGTGGCAGGGATTGGCCTTGGTCCTCTTTCTCTTCTCCCTGGATACCCAGCTCTGTCATGGAGTAGAAAAGCAGTCTGATCAAATCAGTTATTCTAATGAATTCAGGATTTGCTGTATAAGACCTCCCAGAGATTAAGGTATTTTGAAGGTGGGACCCCAACATCAACAGGGGAGAGACAGATGGGCAGCAGAGCTTCCAGGAACCCAGAGTTTACTCAGTGTGGACAGACACCCTATTTACCCACACAGGAAAGCAGCTTGATGTAAGCTAGACCATGTGAGCAGCTTTCTTAGTAAAGGGCAGAAGAGAGGCAGTAGTGTCTAGAAACTTCTGGTAAAAGCAGCGGTGGGGAAAGAAAGTTACTCTTGAGATGAAAAGACAGAGAAGGCAGGAAGGACAAAGCAGCTGTTTGACAAAATGGTGGGGAAGGAGCAATTCTGTAGCCAAGGAAGTTGAGGTTGATTGGCTTCTGCTTGTGGTTCCAGAGGGGGGCGGGGAGCAAGATGGGGGGACGTTCCCGGGGCAGATGGGTGACTGGACTCCTTTGTAAGGTCCGGTTCCCTTGGCACTTTCAGGGAACCAACCCACTGTCCTGGAGACGGCAGAGGCGTTCCACCCAGGGAAGAACAAGTGGGAGGTCCTCCCCGCCATGCCCACACCCCGCTGTGCCTGCTCCAGCATCGTTGTCAAGAACTGCCTCCTGGCCGTGGGGGGCGTCAACCAGGGTCTGAGCGATGCGGTGGAAGCCCTGTGTGTCTCTGACTCCTAGCTGGCTCTGGGCCCAGCCACCGTGTCCTGGACCTGATCACCCCACTCTGGACAAGAGGAATGATCTCATCAAAGTAGTTTGGGCTGTCTCCCCGGTTGCCAGCTCCTGTCAGCAGCCAGTGGGGTTAGGCCATAGGGCTCTAAGTGACCTCTCCACCTCCAAACCCTACCAATCCGAGAAAACTGTAAGAAGTCTCTATGACTCTGCCATCCCCCTTCCCTTGTTGGGGCTCAGGTGACTTCTGGGGAGAGTTCTCACTTAGTGCTCAGGCAGAGAAAGGTAGGTAGCAGGAGTATATGCTGCCTCCCTTCCTGTGGGTTTACCTCTCCCATCTCCAGGATAGGGGGTACGCAGGGCAGTTCTGACCCAGAGGATAGCTACTTGTAGCTGTCCTTTCCCTGGATCTGCGCTAGTCTGAAGGTCTCTTGGGATGGAAGATGGAGAAGGGTTGCAGGGGTCCCAACCCCTCTTCTCTCCATTGGTCTACATCCCTTCCCATTTGGTGGCCAACTGTGGGCCTGCCCTGGACCTCATCTACTCAGCAAGAATTGGCCCTGAAGCTGGAGGCGGCTGATTTGGAAGGGAAGTCGGGTTCACGTGCACTGGTCCAGGTCAGAAGCCCTGGCCAGGAAGGACCCATGCCTCTCGGGGTCCTGATGGGAATGTAATGATGGGAATGGAGCAGACTCCCAGCCCAGGGTCTGCTCCCCACTCTTCTCACTTCATTTCTCCTTCGGTCACCCCTCCCCACCAGAGGCACCCCTCCCCTTTGTCACCGACAGCCCCAGAGTGTTTCTGTGTGAAACCTTCTTATTTACACTGTGGCATCAAAATCCACAAAGGATGGATTAATTACACTCTGGTTAACAGCAGCAGCACAATGATTAAAATCTATATTCCTATCTTCTCTGGCACCCTGATGCAGGGGTGGGGTGGACGGTGTCTTTTGTTTTTTGTGTGTGTGTGTGTGTTACGTGGGCCTCTCACTGTTGTGGCCTCTCCCATTGCGGAGCACAGGCTCCGGACGCGCAGGCCCAGCCGCTCCGCGGCATGTGGGATCCTCCCGGACCGGGGCACGAACCTGTGTCCCCTGCATCGGCAGGCGGACCCTCAACCACTGCGCCACCAGGGAAGCCCCTGGACGGTGTCTTGATATGCAAAGGGGACCGCATGAAACAGTCCCTCTGACATTCTCAGGCTAAACGGGGCCCCAAGGGACCACTTGTTCTTGGCTGTTCCTTCTGAGGAGGTTCCACCTTCAAACCACCCTGCCCTGACCAGTCACCTCACTCCTAGGAAAACAGCACACTTTCCGTCTCCTGCGCGTTGACGCCCCACAGGTGTGTTGGGAAAAAGCTGCACTCATTGTTACTTCTTGTGACTGGCCTCAGTTCATTCAGCTCGAGCTCATTTCTGTCTTGCCTACAGTAGAAAGGGAATTGCTCACTAATGTAAAAACGTGAAGGACATGCCTCCTTTTAGCTGGTATAGCACCGCTTTCTGATTCCAAGTTATTTTTAAAAGCTGTGCTTTTAAACACGGGGGATACGAAGATGAAAAAAATACATGCCCTGGAGGGGCAGTGGTGGGGTCAGGGAGCACGCACCACGTGCTGGTATGATTATTTCTCCTGAAGCAGGAACACCCATCTGAGGGATCACACGGAGCCTCCTGGAGGAGGTAACACCTCCACTGAACCTTCACAGACAAGTGGAACCAGGGTCTTTACGGGACAGTCATTTTGCCTCCCTTTCTCTCGTACCTGATCTTTTTCTTTACTTGGGCACTGGAAGGACACTGCCACCTGCTGACCCAGGCTTTCCCTCCCACCTTGGCATCCTGTGGCCACAGGTGCCCCTCACGGAGCAGACTGCAGAGAGGCCTTCCCTACTGCTTCCAGACCCCCACCCCCAGCCCATTTCCGTTGAGCCCCCTGAAGTGACTGTTAGAAAGAGAGGCTGGGGCAGCAGGTCAGGGGAAGCATCGCTAAGCCCAGCCCTCCATTCCACTTCTGTCTCTGCACTGCCTGCTCCCACCCTCCCCAACCCCTCCCCAAGAAAGGCATTTACAAATGGGGTCCCTCCACCCCTTCTAACAGGAAGCCTAGCTTTGTGTGTGGGAGGTTTTCCAAGCACACAAAATGGCACCAGACATGTGGATGGGACTGAGGCATTTTAAATAGTTGGGGTACCTTAGGGCTGTAGCCAGCCCTAAAGGTTCTTTCCATTATGAGAATGGGGGACTGACTGCTGCAACCTGTGAGGGCCACTCAGGGCTCAAGCTGGTATCTGCTGAGGACTCACCTCTTGGAGGTCCATGCCGGGAAGACTTTGGGTGTGGCCCACAGAGGAGCGAGGGAAATAGAGGGTGTCAGCGGCATACCTCATGGCTGTACCTCATGGTGCTGCAGAGGCCGCTCACGATCTGGGGTCCAATGGCCTGGCTCCAGGCCTCAACCCCCTCCCTGCCATAGGCCTTCTCATCCCCGTCCATCTCTGGAAGGCCCCTCCCCTCTCTTGTCTTCATTTCCCAATCTGTAAAACAAAAGCAATGACAATGCCATCTCACAAGTTGGCAAAGCACCCGCTTCGATCCTCAGATCAACTCTGTGGAGAAGGCAGTATCCTCGTATTTTGCACATGAAACAACTAAACCTCCAAGAGGTTATATAACTTGTCCAAGGTCACAAGCTAGTAAGTGACTGAACCAAATCTGATTCTAAAACCTGTGACCACAGTACTGCATTGCCTCAAATGGAATAGCACATAGGAAAGGGGAGAAAATCAGCTGCTCTGTACTGTGTAAGGGTTCAGAATGTCAAACCTGGAAAGATGGAGGGCTCCAAACATTCCTTTTGTTTCCCAAGGAATGAGTATGAGAATTAGCAAGGAAAGGTTGGGAAGGGCTCTCTAACGTGAAACGAGCATAAAATATTCCTAAATTTACATCCCAGGAAAGTTCCCTTCTGGCTCTTTGACTGTGTCAGCTATTCCAAAGCATTGTTTGACACTGAACTCCAGTTATGTGTCTGGCATGGTGCTGGACTTGGCATTCCTGCCCTCCAGTAGCTGCAGCCTTGGGAGGGAGACGGGAACTAAATCCGCAGTTAGTATTTGATGAGACAAGTGTCAGCCTTTGCTAGTGTAACCCAGAGGTGCCCCATCCTTACTGGCTACAGAGAACTGAGAGGAACTGAGGGGATCAGAGAGGTTTCCAGAAAACAAATCTCAAACTGCACTTTGAAAGAAGAGGGAGAACAGCCAGGCAGAGGAGGATGACCCCAGGCTTTGAAGCAATAAATATGAGTTCAAATCATAATTGTCATGTGTGGATTGATCTTGGGTACGTTGTCAACCCCTGAATCTCAGTTTCCTTATTTGTAAAATGAACAAAATAAGGCCTCACTGAGGTTAAGAGCTACCTACTATACACAAAATGATTTGCATATATAAGGTGAGTAGCTGCACTATTATTTTTTGTTGTTGAGGGAGAGACAGAGGTGTTCTCAAGTCCACTGAGGGACAACATGCGCATTGCAGAGAATCTAGGGAGATGGGCTGGAAGTACAGGCAGGGCAGATCAAGAGGCCTTACGTGCCTTGCTAAGGAGTCTGGACTCTATCCATATGGGAAACTGGGAGCAAATTAAGGATTTTAAGTGGAGAAGCATCATGATCAGATTTGTGCCATTGGAACATAGGATCAGCCAAGTTCCTCTTCTGAGGAAAACGAAGTAAAATCACCAAGGCGCCATCTAAGATGAGAAAGAACCCCAGGGACTTCCCTGGTGGCATAGTGGTTAAGAATCCGCCTGCCAATGCAGGGGACCCGGGTCCAAGAAGATCCCACATGCGGCGGAGCAATTAAGCCCGTGCGCCACAACTACTGAAGCCTGTGCGCCTAGAGCCTGCGCTCCGCAACAAGGGAAGCCACCACAATGAGAAGCCCGCGCGCCGCAGCAAAGGGTAGCCCCCCGCTCACGGCAACTAGAGAAAGCCCGCATGCAACGATAAAGACACAACACAGCCAAAAAATAAATAAACAAATTTTTTTTTTTTAAAGAAAGAACCCCAGTTGGGGTTGGAATCCTCAGAAAAACACGTGGGCCAAGCTTGTCAGGCCTCCTCTGGACGAAGGTCCATCTGCTGGGCAATTAAAGTGCCGGGAGGGTTTAGAACCACAGAAAGTGGACAAGTCCCTCCCTTCCATGGCGTCTTCTCCTCCAGAATTTCTAATGATCTCTTGCATTTGCGTTGAGCTTTCTGGCCCACAGATACACTGAACAGGAGGTGGGGTACCATCGGCCTTTTCCAACCCCATCTTGTAGAAGAAACAGAACCGGGAACCCTATGACTAACCCAAGCGGCACAGCTAACAAGTGATGGAACGGAGACTCTAATCCAGCTGCCGGGGTGGAGGGTAGTGCACACCCCCACCGCCCACCATTCTGAGCTCTGCAGTAAGAGATGGCATCCCCGCCCCTGGGTGGCGGCAGAACAGGACCAAAGCCTCAGGCCAGGCTTGGTGAGATCAAAGAGTTGCGTGGGCAGGCGCTTCTTGTTGGCATTAGACAACTGCAGAAGTGAAGCCATGAGGCAGAGCACAGGCAAGAGCTGAAGAGACGGGCACATAAAAGGACCCAGACAGGTTGGGCAGATAACCTTCCATTTTATTAGTTTCCTAGGGCTGCCATAACAAAATACTGCAGACTGGTGGCTTCAAAAACAACAGAAATGTATTGCCTCACAATTCTAGAAGTCTGAAATCAAGAGGGAGGGGGAACCTTCCTTGCCTCTTCCTGGCTCTGAGGACTGAGCTGATCTGGGAAGGCTTCCTGGAGGAGACTGCTGTTATAACTGGGCCTCAAGGGAAGGGAGACTTGGGTGCCAAAGTGCACACAGGAGTGGGGAGTGATGTGAAAAAAGATTAGAAGGCAAGTTGGAGCCTGTGCCGACCCTGAATAGTGGGTCGATGCCTCGAAAAGAAGGGTTTGAGGAAGGTCGGCATCAGTGTGA